CTTTAAATGAATGCACTAGTGAAGCCCTCTGAGCTTCACCGAGATCAAAAGCCTGCTTGTGCACAAGGCTCCCCTCCCCCTTGGTAGACAGTCTTTCTAAAAGAAAGTGATTAAGTGACAAATTATTCTTTGGAGGTACAAGTGCTGTGTCTGCTGGGTTGCTGTGGTTGGATTCGATCCTTTCACACTTACATTAGTGGTCCCAGTGAAGCCACTGGGTTAGGCTCTTGCTTTTGAGCCTAGGCAGCAGGTTGGAGATACAGACTTGTCTCTGTGGCCAAAAGTGCCAGCAGCAAGTTGAGTGCCATTCTCAGCTCAGGTCCTGGCTGAGGAGAGTAGAAATGGGGTGCAAAGCTTGATCTGCCTCTGCAATCACAGAATCATAGGATACTTTGGGTTGGAAGGGACCTGTACAACTCATCTAGACCAAGTCCTCTGCAACGATCAAGGACAGCTCCATCTAGCTCAGGTTACTCAGAGCCCTGTCCAACCTGACCATGAATGTTTTCAGGGATGGGGCATCCACCACCTCTGTAATCAGGGATACTTGGTTGAGTGAGGAACACAGAATCTAACTACCATATCCAGCTTGTGACCTTGAATTGGCATTTAGGCACCTTTATAGCTCTGATACAAGGAAAAATATTGCACAGACTGATTCCTACTTGCTTTCTCACTTTGTGACAGATAGCTGCATATTTTTGCCTTGCCTCTAACCATGCATAGTGATCATAATAACTATACTTCATCCATATACCAGAACCCTTGATAAGGCTTCTCAAAGTGTATTATCTAATTTTCCCATAGTCCCTAAACTGAACAATCTTTGTCTCATTGTCATCTCACTGTCATTTCTCAAAGAGTACCTGTGATAATATTATTTGGGACTATTTATTATTTATTGTGTACTGCCCCCCAAATGCCATGCTCAGTGACAGTACAGAGCATGTGTTTGATGCTATTTAAAAACTTGCAATCCTTTTTCAGACAAAAACATTGATCTTAACACAGCTACTAATCAAGGTGGTAGAAGAATAATTAGGGCAGGCACAGCTGATCTGAGGTTATGCAACAAATCAAAGTTATGACTAGAATCCAGGAAAAATCACTAACATAATCTCAAAAACTCCCCTATTTCTGCTATGTATGGAGCAAGCAACTGCAATTGGTTATTTTCTTCATAATTGTCTTGCAGTTTCTGTATACCTTTGCAGACAAAAGCATGTCACCTCTGAAGTACTCTCATTCTCTAGCAGGATAAGAAAACAGAGAGGCAGGACATATTTGAACTCAGATTTCCAAGTTCAGCTGCTCCTTATGCTATTTTCAGCCCCATAAGCCTTTTCCTTGTCATTTGGAGATGGGTGTTCATGATTACAAAGACAGTGTTTGCTCTGTTTGGAGACAGACCTGTCTGTTGTCCTACCATGCTAAAATGAAAGGCTGAATTCCCCTCTACTGCCAGACAGCTTTATAACTTTTTTACCCCAGAGTGTTATATTTTTGCCGTCTGACTTCAACAAGGAATTAAACTGTGAACATTAATAGTGACAACATTTGCATTCTTCTCTCAGGTAGAATGTAAACAGCAGAGCAATGCTGTTTTGGCCAGGGAATGGGGCCAAGCTCTTCTAGGTCTGCTGATTTTCATAATGAAAAGGTTATATGAATGTATAAGTAAATTGTCCTTTCCATTAACACAGCCCTACTCTGCATCTGGAACTATTCATGCTTGTCAAGAAGGAGGAGATGATATCTTAGAAAAGCTGAAATGTCCAAACTTGTAACTCCTTCCCTAAATATCAATTATTTCCTATTACAACAGGAACAAGGGATGGTGCATTACCAAACTGAAAGTACACTCTGCTTCTGAATCACTGTGAAGATATTATCAGACAAGTGTCTTTTTTTTTTTTAAAGTACATCTTCTGTTAGTTTAAAGCAAATGAAACCCACATGAAAACTTCACTTACTTTTTAAATGTTACATCATATGTTATAATGTCATGTAAATATGGACCTCCATGCTGCATAAAATTGGCATTCCATTGCTTTCTATTTTCCACTTCTTTTGATAAATTCACATAATAACGTGTGCTTCTGATAACCTTCTGTAATTCCACTGATAAATCAGTCACATAGGAGAGACAAAATTGACTTTTCAAGAGCAGCACATGGCTCCCATAAAATTATTCCAGCTTTAGTAGCACGTCATGGAGAACCAGGGACACAGTGCAGTTTGTATTTTGTAAAAAAAGACATTAGCACTGACTGCTTCGCTTCCTTCTCATGTGACTTTGTATGTCAGTGAGTAATTCAGTAGTGCAATATAAAGATATCACTACAAAATGCAAACACAGTAGTACTCAAAGTCATGGATAAAAACCAGAGATGCAGTATGCTAGCAGGGTACTAATAAATTTGGCTCAGCTATCTCAGATAATCGCAAGCCAATTCCAAACCTGTTTCCCTTTTATCTTTTATGTGTGCTACCTCTCCTGATGTTATTGCAGTTTAAAAAAAAAAAAAATCGCTCTTTAGATTCTCATTGGACAAATGCCTAGGAAAGTACTATTGATTAATGATGTATTAATCAATTTTATTATAAGCACAGACCTCCACTTGTCTGATTGACACTAGCAGCTATTAATGATTAATTTCTGCTTTCATTTACAGTGGTAAGAAAGAGATCCTGTCAATAGGAATAAAGATACTTTATGTTCCTAGACAAAGGAAAATAAGGTCTTTATTTGGTTTATGAAAATATAAAATGTTTTAAATTAAATATTTAAGTAATGAGTCACTTGTGTGCTTTACAACACTGATTTACAGCATACAGAGTCACTTAGCTAGTCCAGTTGGATGTAGAAGGGCAGGTAAAAGATAAAAAAGGCTGTTAAAGAAAGAAAGTCCAACTCTGTGCATTGCTGTCTTTCTGAAAAATAGGTTAGTCATCTTTGTTTCACTGTGAATGTGTCACCACATAATAATCATTGTAGTCATTAACTGTTCATGCTCAACCTATGCCTTTAATTTCACTTGTGTTTTGAAAAATCTCATATTAAACTAATTCATTTCCCCTTGACCTAAATATTTATTTCAACAATATATATACAACTGATCCCACTATAACCTATTATGTTACAAACTGTTTACAGGCACCATTAAGAAAATCTCTGTGTATAAGTAATACCATTAAGAAGCTTTCTATATATCGGATTTAGAAACTTTACTGTGCGGGGCGCATTAGTTTTATTGTTTTATTGTTTTTCATGACAGGTATATATTACTATAGCAATGTAATACATTTTGATCAGACCAGAAATGAATGACTGAAAACTGTAGAGATTTAATTTCAGTAGCTCTTTCCTAAACCTTGTGATACTGGTTGGCTCCCAACACCACCGAACAGATCTCGTCCAGAGACAAGTGCCATCTATCGATAAAAGATGTATTGAGTTGAAGAAGCTAGAACAGACCAAAAATGGAACCAGCCTGCCACCTGCTGCTATGTGGAATTACTTCAACAAATATATTTTCTAGGCCTTGTACTGACCAAGAAATACTCATATGTGAGCTGGGTCCGACAAAAGCCTGCCTGTTCTGCAACAGTGAGCTTTCCCCTGGGCAGTTCCAAAAGTGTTGGTTAACATTAAAATAATAGGATGCTCCGTGCATTTGAAAATAGGTCACGTAATCTAAGCAGCTGTCTTATCTTCTTTCCTGCTGTTCTTGGCACTGGTGGGGCTTCACCTCTAATGCTGTGTCCAGTTCTGGGCCCCTCAATTCAGGAAGGACATTGAGGTGCTGGAGCAGGTCCAGAGAAGGGCAATGAAGCTGGTGAAGGGTCTGGAGGGTAAGTCCTATGAGGGGCGGCTGAGGGAGCTGGAGTTGTTTAGCCTGGAGAAAAGGAGGCTCAGGGATGACCTTACTGCTCTCTACATCTACCTGAAAGGAGGTTGTAGCCAGGTAGGGATCAGTCTCTTCTTCCAGGTAACAAGTGACAGGACAAGAGGACATAGCTGTGGCAGGGGAGGTTCAGGCTGGACATCAGGAGGAATTTCTTCATGGAAAGGGTTGTTAAAAGTTGGAATGGACTGCCCAGGGAGGTGGTGGAATCACTGTCCCTGGACGTGTTTAAGGAAAGACTGGATGTAGCACTTAGTTGGTCTAGTTGACATGCTGACGTTCAGTCATAGCTTGGACTCAAATGATCTCAGGGGTCTTTTCCAACCTAACTGATTCCCTGATTCTGTGGTTCTAGTACTTCCAAGTCTTGGGGCGGCTAACTTGGGTGTTTGATGGTCTCGTTCAAGTTTCTGCTCCTGGGAAGGGGCCACGAGCTGAAAACTGAGCTCCTGCTAAAAGCAGCTGCCTAGTCCTTGCAATCGCACAGCTAGAGGCTGGCAAGGTCTCAAAGATCTGAATAAAAACATCACCACCAACTGCAAAAAAGCTCGAACCCAAAATAAAAATCATATTATTTGTTTAATATCTCACAGTTTTAGCAGCACAGGTTGATATTTGAGGCTTTGAACAGTGGTCCTTTATCTGTTCTGAGGGGCAGGATATTTAGCACCCGGTGCTTTGGTCACATCCACCAGAGTAAATCTCGGGACCTGGAAACCGCACTCCGGTTCCTAGGGACTGCTCTAAGTAAAGTGTCCCCAGGATTCACTGGGGATGGGGCCAAAACGCCGAGCACATCAATTATAGCGAACAACGCGGTGCAGCCCTCAGCGCACCCCACGCCATGCGGGCAGCAGCACGGAGCGGGAGCCGGCTCTGAGGGATGGATGGGGGCGGCAGAGGGCTCGAACTGAGAGGTGATGGGGAGCACAGCCAGGGTGTGCGAGAGACCGGGTGAGCCCGAGAGGCTGCAACAACCCCACACAAAGAAGACACCCCCAATCGCCCCGGTCACCGCCGGCCCGGAGCCACGCCCGCCGCCGGGCCGGCACGGCTACTGCGCATGCGCCCGCCTGCTGAGGCGCCGGAAGTGGCGTCCCGGTGCCGTTCGGTGTCCCGGGAAGTGGGGGGGACATTGATCCCGTGCCCAAGTGTGCCCGTATTTTCCTTTGGGAATATGTCGGAGGCCGAGAGTCTAGCCCCGAGGTACGGGCGGGTGTGGGGAGCCTCCGACAGGGCCTGCGAGGGAGGGTGTTCTGCGGCGGGCGGAGCGCGCTGGATCGCGTGTGGCTCCTTACCCGGGGTCTGCGCGGCACTGCCGCCGCTGCTGCATCGCCCGGCGTGAAACGCGGGGGTACCGTGAATCCGCTGTTAGGGCCGAAAATGCTTTAGTTGAAGACAGGGCGAGTTAATGGCACGGTTTTGTACAGAACGTTTCCAGAGAGCTGGCTGGGGGTTTGTTTCCCCCCCCCCTTCCCTTTTCCATTATATTGTAGATTCATGTGAAGGTTGGAACACTGGTCGCTTGCCTGACATGAAAAATGCATATGCTAAATTATGAGTGAGGAGGAAACTATATTCTTACTTTTTTCAACTAAGTAAAATGTATTGCTGTTACAGTGGTAGTTTAAAATTATTAAAATAGCATTCCTTTCTAATAGATAGTGCTGTTGTTTTTCAAATTATATTTATTATTCCTGTTCTGTGATTCTCTTGTCAGCTTTCCACAAAGTGGTACGGGCTAAACACGTGCTTTTTTTTTTTTTTTTAATTTTTCTAAATAGCACATATTAAATTCAGATTTTAAAAATTTGAAAGTGTAAAGGAAAATCTAAGCATTTTTTAAAGTAATTGAGTATCTGTAGCTCCATAAGTCACCATTAGACATGACTGCAGTGTAAACAGTGAACACTGTGATCACCGGACCCTTAAATACACAATACATGAACGTCAGAGTCATTTTCGTAGGCTAGTGCAGGACTGGCATGTCTTGCAAGTAACATTTTTTTCCTCTGGTTTTGAAATAATATTTGACCTGTCTCAGAAAGCATTAATTCAGTTGTTTCCTGGTTTATATTTTTCTGGCTGGTCTTGGCCCTGATGCTGCAAAGCTCTAAAAACAGTTACAGTTTGAATCACAAATAGGCCTGGTGGATATACAAATTTAAACATGTATATTCTTTGCAAAATTATGGCCTTTTTTTATATCCACGGGTGCTTTGCTCCTGATGTGTACTTTGGTTCTGCAAAGAAAAGAAGAATTTATCTAGAAAAGCTTCACAGTGCATCATTCACCCATTGCCCCTCACTCAAAATAAATTATTTTTCTTCAAGTTTTGCTGCTGTCACAGCACGTAAAAGTTAATATTGGTTTTAGTCCTTTGAGTTAGGAAACTGAGCTTTCTAACATTTGCAAGCCTGCAGAGGAGAGAGATTTGATATTTAGAAAGTTGAACTGAATTGAAATGTCATTTACAGTTGTTATGAAACACAAAGTACTCACTGGAATTTACCATTGTTTCCACTACAGGGATTCCACTACGTTGTCCTAGTTACAGGGGCTGGAACCAGTTTATCACCATGTGGGTATAACCAAAACTGTGTATTTCGCACCCTCTATGTCATTTCTGATGGACTGTTAATAAATGGATTGTTTGCAGCAGCTGCCCAGGGGCACACCTGACACCTCAGGTAACAACATGAACATTTAATTCATATCTGCAACGTAAGAAGAAACCTACATCCCTAACTTTATTCTTTCCTGTGCCACTGAGGCCAAAATTGGCTCGTCCTTGCTTCTCGCTACCTCATCTGGTGAGTATGAAACCTTAATTATTTTACTTACCTAGGTAACAGTTGTACTTCAGTAGGGTTTCTGTACCCAAAATTTTGTCAGACTCTTAACTGTATTTTTTATATTGGTTTTGAAATACGCGGTATGATGTAAAAGACCAGCAGACTTTTTTTTAAACTTTTTGAAAAGTATCATAATTTGCTATGGCAATAACTTAAAAAATAAAAACTTCCTGTGTTTTGTTTGGAAAGTTGATTTCTTTAGACCTAGTTTAGATTAAATTATTTTAATGATTTTTCTCTGTTAGCATATGATGAAAAAAATCTTGGAAGATTTAATGTTCTGTAGGGTGTAATACTACTATAGAGACATAGGCAGTTAACTTCTGCTGGTGTGCAAAAGTACTTGAGTTTAGCATAAAAGGAAAATATTCTTGTAAGTCTTAAGAGAATTACTGTTTCTCCAAAAGGAATCAGTCATGGCTGATGACTCTCAGAGGAATTTTCGCTCAGTGTATTACGAAAAAGTGGGGTTTCGTGGAGTTGAAGAAAAGAAGTCACTGGAAATTCTGTTAAAAGATGACCGTTTGGGCAAGTTGATTTCACTCTTTCCTCTGTTACTTTGGTGATAAGGAACTGGGGAGGGAGTAATAGAAAATGTTAAGCTGCTGTGCTTAATACTCATTTTTCATGTTTTACCACTAATCTCTCAGTTATTGCTAGCAGACCTTTGACTTTGGAAGATCTGAAAATCTGTTTTTAAAACTACCAAAGATTTGTCAGTTGGCTTCCTTTTTTTCCTTCTCTCATTCTTTGTGCTGAAGAAATGGAAAGTTTTTTAATGAAAGCAATTTTAATCGGAGAACGCATCATTTCATGCTGTTTATTCCATATAACTTCAAAACAATGAAGATTTTGTTATTGCTGTTGGTCCCTGAGGAGTGCCACATCTCTAACAGAACAGAAGGATAAATGTCGTCCCTTTAAAAAAGCCCTTAATTGTTTTGACAGTGGCACGATTTACAAAATGCCTATAAAAATGATCCAGTTTCTTCCTGATGAAACTTAAAGTAGTTTTACTGTAGATCAAGCCAATGTATATATTTTTCAAAATTGTTGCAGTTTATAGGGCACATTCTATTCACAATTGAAGTGGTGAAAGATCTTATTGATAATATGTGATGAAAGTGAGAATTTCAATGAGCAGCTGAAGATTTGTCATAGTTAGGTAGATCAGAGACGCAAAATTATTTATATTTAAATTTATCATAATTGTTTTTCTTTTTATTTCTCTACAGATATTGAGAAGCTTTGCACATTTAGTCAAAGGTTTCCACTCCCATCCATGTATCGTATACTGGTGTGGAAAGTGCTTCTAGGTATGAAATATAACATAGAATGTAGGAAGGTGTATTTTTTTAAAGAGGTAATGACATGGATTATTCTGTACTACCTTGCCTACTGCTGCATATTTAGCCTACTTTTGTATCCACCTCGAATGCACAATGGCAATTATAAAACAGTGTTCCATGGATAGTTTTTGAGAACTTTGCTGAAGTGTACCTAGAAAAGTGTGTTTCTGTATTTAACTTTGTAACACTATGCAGTTACAGTTATAAAATGGATTTGAAAGGTGGGTTATAGCAAGTCACCAATACCTGATAAGATATTCAGTGCTGTTTCTGAAATAACATACAGTTAGGTTGAAGTAAGGCTGTGATTAATTTTAAACTGGGCAAGTTTATTCTAAAGAAAAGCTTTGTGTTCCACAAAATCTTGGTCTCTTCTGGTTTTGCTTCTGGTTTTGAATTGTATTTGCCATTGAAGAAGTTATGAGGCCAAAGACAAGTTATGGTATCCCCAGAAACCATAAAACCCCATAAATAGATTATATTTTCGTTGAAGTGCATTAGTCAGATGACTAATTCAAAAGTACTAATGGCTTTGCACTAACTGGTCAAGTGTATTGGTTTACTTGTGTCACTTGGAGACAGGAGGGGTTGTGCAAGGCCCAGGAGTTCTGACCCTTACAAGGTACCTGGAGAGTTTGTTTTCCTTAGAGTTGCTGCACGTAGAGAAACACCGATAGGTTGAGTGTGAAGGTACATCGTCGGGCTGAATCTGTGGAAGAGAAATGTGATTTGGGGGAGGAGCCTTGTGCCACTTTTGTAAAGCTTGAGTGTGGCTCCCATGCTCAGTCTTGTACTAGCAGAGCTGTGCTGGCAGGAAAGGAGCTGAGAGCCAAAATGTTTCATCAGGGAGACCAGCAGCATCGGTCTGCAGATTGGCTTGGAAGCTGCCGTCTTTTACTGCCTGTGAACTATCCTGCATATTCTTTGTCATTTGGCTCTCCAGAGTACATGATACAGATCCCACATATATTTCATACAAAGATTCTTGATGTGTGATTCAGAGTCAGTAAGGCTGGTGATTCCTACCTCAGAATGGTTATTTTCCAAAACAGTTTTTGTCTGTTTTGGGATGTTTATTAATCTTAGGCCGTGCCATAATCTTGAACAATGTTCAAGTAAATATCTTCCTTGTTTCCATATTCCACTACAATGTCTGAAGTTTGAAATAGTGTATTAGAAAGTTTTAGGTGAGTTTTAAAAATGATTTTTAATTTTTTCTTGGTTTTTTTCCCGCTTCTAATTTTCTACAGTTTAAAAGTTGTGGCTTCATATCCCTGATTATTTGGATTTGTGAGCCTGTTTCTGGCAAAGGTAGTAAAGGAACAGTGCACAGAAGGTGCAAGATCTAATTATAAAACTTGGAAGTTCTTGGCATTGATCATTGAACTGACAGAGTAATTCTACTTGATAAAAGCCTTTGCCATAAAAAAGGTGATTGCATCCTGGGCCCTAGTGAAGTAGTCTGCATCCTTTAAAATATTAGTTGTAGGAAATATAGCGTCGAAGGTTTAGACAAGTGACTCAATAAAAGATCCTTCAGCCAAAATTATAATAGCAAAACATAGTCTGCAAAGTTGTGGCTCACTGCAGAGCCAGTGGTCAGTCTTTGACTGTTTTAGATAGATGATCCGTGAATCATGTGATAACACAAAACACCTTCTGAGTTAACTGCATGGAAAATTATATTGATTTTTAGAAAGATTTTCTGTTTTAAACTCAGAGTGATTCATTTCACGACATGAAGCTGTGTCAGGGGAGGTTTAAGTTAGATATTTGGAAAAGTTTCTTCACCCAGAGGGTGGTTGGGCGCTGGAACAGGCTCCCCAGGGAAGTGGTCATGGCACCAAGCCTGCCAAAGTTCAAGAAGTGTTTGAACAGTGCTCTCAGACGTGTAATTTTTTGGAGTGGTGCTCTGCAGGGTCAGGAATTGGACTCAGTGATGCTTGTGGGTCCCTTCCAACTTGAGATATTCTGATTTCAAGCATCCATACTGTCATTCTGTATACTTCTTGGGTGAACAGAGGTGAACAAGGACTTCTCTTATGCTGTATCTCAGTGTTAACACTTGTTAGAAAAGCTGGTATTGAAAAGGAATGCAAAATATCTCTCCTTAAGTAATTGGAACGACAGCCCAGTCCATTTCTGGTGGGAAGTGTTACATGTCCTCTAAACAGTGTTAATAGTTTAAGAAAATTTTGCTGACAGGATAGGCTTCCTTATCTCAGACATGTACCAAGACTTGATGCTGTCCCAGGTTGCATGGTATGTCAGCAGTGTCTCCATTAATTTCCTGTTCAAGTGTGACTCATTATGGTTTCTGGACATCCCGGTGTTGTTTAAGCTTTTTTTAAGCTTTTCTTTCTGCCTAAGGTTATCTTCTGTATTTCAGGAGAGCAGTTGGCAATATGTATATACAAAGTCATGATGTTGACTCTCTTTGGCATAACATGAAAAATGTCTTGTTCTGTCCCAGCTTTTGAAATGCAGACAGGTTTGCAGTTGGAAATGAAAAGATAATTTTCTATCTGATGTACTTGTTACTAAACTCAGTCATTTCATGGTTTAACACTTGACAGGAATATTTTTTTTTTAAAGTGAGAGATAAAAGCAGCAGGTAGCTTGTTTCAAACTGATTTTTGAAGAATACTTTGTTCTCATGGGTTTCTGCACTGAGAAATATTCTGCTCCACTAGTGAAATGTTGAGCATCTCTTCTGGAGATGCAGTTTAATTTTGTCTACCTTACTACTTTTATTTCTTTTTAAATTTTTTTTTTTCTCCTAGAAAACTAGAACAAATATTCGTGTTGTGCTAAGAATGTAAAAAATGTTACCTTGCAAAGTGCCTATGTGGTATTCTTAAGTTTTAATCTATAACTGATTCAACCCGTGTGATTGATTTTGCTTCTGAATGTTGTTTTAAGAGAGATTTAATCTATGATACAGAGAGTAAAGTAATTAATACTGAGTTGTACAGTATCTTTGCATTGGTTAATTGAATCTGTATATTCTCTGTCATCTCAGACAAAGTGTAGAATTTGAGAAAATGAACAGCTAATGTAGATAAAAATCATTCTGCACCCACTTTGTTTTCAAAGTAAGTGGAAGGTGGGCACAAATGCACAACTGTAACTATACTAAAAGCTAGATAAGTATAAACAAGTAACAAGTAAGATTTCTCTTTACAATTGCTTGTATTTTTTTATTTTAATTATTTTTTTTTTCAAATTTTTGTCAGGAATTATTCCTCCTCACCATGAATCTCATGCTTTGGTGATGAAGTGCCGAAAGGAGCAGTACTGGGATATACACCATGCTCTTCGTGTAATTCGCTTTATTAATGATTCTACCCCACAGGTGGATGTTTTCCTGCGCATCCATCAACTGGAATCGGGAAAACTGCCTCGAAACTTGGCTTTCACATTGGTCAGTGAACTGCAAGTCACCTCACAAATGCATGTAGATAGATGAGTAAGGTGAATGGAAAACAGAGAAGTACTAGTACAAAATAAGACATTTTAGTCAAAGTGCTTTTCTCTTTTTCTTCCCCTAAGTACTTATGTAAGATTTGATGCCTTAGAATCCCTTTTGAGTATTTTGCCTGCTAGCATTTCAAGCATTTTGTACTCTAATGCACTTCAGTTTCTTTATAGCACTGAAATGAAAATGACATAATCCTATTGGAGCTCATAGATTCTTACATGTCCTGGAACAAGGATAATTCAGAACCCGTACAAGCCATGATTTAATGCAAATTGCATCATATATTTAAATTATTTGTTTTTAAATCTAGACTTTAATGTACTGACCTCCTTTTTACGTTAGTCTGAACTAATCAGGGCTTCTGTCAGGTCATGCATGTACTCTGCAGTTTACAGTGTACTCACAAATGGACCTTGATGCGATGGTAAGCCAGTAGAGAGATGAGAAAAACAATGTGTGGATCTTATGTATAAACCTCTGTCAAAGAGGATGTGATGAAAGGAACCACAGGGCTTTCCGCAGTGGTTTTTGTCCCTTATTTAATATTAATTTATCCATCACAAAATTTGACATAAAAACTAAAAAAAAAATAAAAAAAGAGAACTTAAAGTTAATATAGAAAGTTCAGTAATATTTTGATCTGGAGGATTACATACAGCATTCCGTTGTTAAAGGAGGGAGAACATTTTCGTGCCCTTACCATTGTCTGGGAATGTGGCTGTCCTACCTTGCAAGTTTCCTGTAGAGAAATTTCCTTGATCTGTGACCCAGTGGGCGAAAAATTCCTCCCTTCTAGAGCAGTATTGCCTTCTGAGCACATGTTTTGTCAGTGCATCCCAGAGCACTGGCTGCTCTCAGTACTGTGATGGTGGTGTTCAGCAGAGCACTAGTTATTAGTCCTGTAACTTGGATTTGTTTTGCTGCAGAAAGCATTTGTTCTCTTTATGCCAGTCTGCTTTCTGTGCAGTAATGTCCCCTTAAATAAGAGGTTACTGCTTGATAGTAGCTCAGTTTTATTGTGGAGGCAGGGGGAATATAAAGATGATGTTGGATTGATATAAATATTTTGAAATGTTTGAGTACCAGAGAGAAGTCTGGTAAATGTTTTGTGCAGTCTGAAAGCAGACAGTTTAAGTAGGGGTATGTGTGCATTGCAGCAGTCTGTGTGGCAGAGACATATCAGTAGTATTTAAGACTCTCCGTGCATCAAACTCTGTGATCCTATAGCTCATGGCCGCATTGTTTTTGGTATCTGTAACGTCCACGACAGAAGTGTTTGAGGGGCCCGTTTGGCCCTTAGCAATCAACAGCATGAAAAATTCTGCTGCTATGCAGTATAAATATGTGGTCCACATAAGTGGGATTATCACTACCTTGTTAGAATGTAGTATTTTCTCATCTGAGAAAATTTGAAACTTTTAAACAGTTTTCCCCAAGCTCCTATTGTGTGTTTTGGTTTTAAAATTAAAACAAGTCTTATTTGCTCTGCTTCAGTATTTGTCATCATAGTGCAGCTGCTGCCCGATGTCTTATTTATGAATGTTAGAACAGCTCTTTGTGTACGTCAATTTCCATTTATTCTCCCAAATAGCAGAGAAAAGGAATATAAGAATAATTTAAATCAGAATAGTCCAATACTTCTGTGTAGTTCACTTTTTTTTGGCTTTGTTTTCCAGGAACCTGAAGATGAAGTGTTTCTTGTTATTGCTAAAGCAATGGAGGAAATGGTGGAGGATCCTGTAGAATGCTATTGGCTTGTCAGTTGCTTTGTGAATCAGCTGAACAGCAAGCACAAAGATTCATTACAACAACTGGTAAGGAAAAAACACTTTTTTTTTTCCTTTTGTTTTTTCCAGTTGTGGAAAGCATTAATACATGGAGACAACTGGAGTGTCAGAGGTGACACCCTTGGGTTCTGTTCCACCAGCTGTTTTGAGAAAATGGGAGGAGTGCCTTTTGGGTTTTGATTGTGCTGTCCTGCACAATTGGATTTGTTTGCTGCGTGGTGATTTTCAGTTACATCTTATTTTCTTTTTAGCTTGCTTGAAGGTTGCATTGTATCTAGTTGAATTATATTTCCTTTTTAGGTTGTCTAAAGGTTGCTTGTATCTAGGTGAATTATATTTCTCACAAATCGGTCACTTAAGAATTTTTTTTATTTTAAACAATTAAATTTAAATTACAGAGTTAAGAACATCTTGATGTATGTCTGCTACTTTTAAGGCTGCATCTCTATCATCCATGTGTGGCTCACTGTATGATAGACAAAGCACAATTGTCTTTGCTTTTTAAATGAACCGGAGTACTACGTCTTCAGAAAAACAGTATGCTGAAAATTAAGTTATAATAAAAAGTGGAATAGTTTTGTTTTAGCACTGATCATTTAAGCGCTGTCATAGAATGTTAATTTTGAATTTCTGTCTTACTGATTTATAAAATTAAAATTTTAATTGTAAAGAAAATGCGTACTTATCAAAATCACGAAAGTTTTTGTAATTCTTCAAATAGCCTTAACAGATAAAAGCTCTTTAGTTAACAGTATCTGCTGAGGTGGCACCTGTGCACTGGCAAGCACCGAATGAAAATTCGTTTTGGAGAAAATGATGCCTGCCCATTGTTTGTTAGTCTTTTGGAACAAGAAATAATTTTTAAACCTACCTCCTGTTTCTGGGGGCGATACATTAAACTAAACAGATTTCTTTAATTCCTTTCAAAGGAAAAAGGAGTATTTTTAAAGAAAGTGTGTACTCTCACTACATAAAGAGTGCCAAGTGTCTCTCTCCCTAATTTTTTTTTTGTAATATAAGCAATTACCAAGTACCAAGTACCAAGACTCTGCAGGTGAGAATATGGAAAAAGGACGTGTTTTTTTCCCTTTGACAGCTGAAGTCATTAGCTGTTTACTTAATTATGACAAAAAACATAAAGGTACTCCTGAATTTATGAAAATGTGTATTGTGTTACATTAAAATTTAAACAAGATGAGAAAATTATCCACATGTTTATCCTTCTAAATACTTTGGGTTTTTAAGCAATAAATCAATGTCCAGCTTTTAATGGGTTGCACAGAGATTTACTCTCAGAATTGATTTTCTGGGTTTTGCTGTATTGTGTGTAGATTTTTTTTTATGTGTGCTAAGGCGATTAGGTTTGAGGTGAATGAAACTCAATTTTACTTGTGGAGGTAACAGTAATTAGTGGATGTTTAATCTCTGCATTGCCTTAAACTCTGAAACACCTCCTTGCATTAGGGAATACTGCATATATTGGAAGTTCTGCTAGTGGTCAGCAATTTAAGGAAGCTGAGTTTGTTTATTTAGTTAAGTACTTAATTAGTTAATTGCAAAAGTCAGCGACACTCATATTTTGGAACAGTTAAAACAGTGCGAGTTCATTATTTTAACATGTTGTTTTACGCGAGTTGAATTTCTAAGACATTCCATGTCTTACGGTGCGCATTAACTATGAAGGTTTTCTGATGTTTCCTAAAATTTTCCAATTCTTTCTCAGCCAAAAGTTCTGGAGCAGTATTTGAACATTGAAGATAACAGACTCCTGATGCATCTGAAAGCATGTGCTGCAATAAGCAAGCTCCCTTATGATCTCTGGTTTAAAAAGTGTTTTGCAGGATGTTTACCTGAGTCCAGTTTACAGAGGCAAGTTCTCTTCTTTCAGTTTGTAACTTCATGGTACTTTTAGCTTTTTGTCGTCACTAGCACACAAAGAGCCTTCTGTACTTTATCTGTAAGATTATGGTGTTAACTTTATTGCTGACTTTACTGATGCAGGATAATCAATCTGTGTGATCATTTCACCCATTGAAATTAAAAAAAGAATGGAGTTAAGTATACCAACTGATTCTGTTGGACACTCCTGGGATTTAAAACTCAAAGTCCTGTCTTAGTGATAGATGGCTGAATGGTAGTCGTTTTCAGGCTTTTTAACCGAAATAATTTCGTAGGGAGTGACTGTAACGTCATCATCATTAGATGAAAAAGATTTTGGGAATGTGTAGTAATTTTGGCTGGGATAGAGTTAAATTTCTTCAGAGTAGCTCATATAGGGCTATGTTTTGCATTTGTGCTGAAAACTGTTGATAACACAGGGATGTTTTAGTTACTTCTGAGTGGCACTAACACAGCATCATTCTGCTCACCAGCAAGGAGGCTGGGGCTGCTTAGGGAGCTGGGAGGGGGACACACCCAGGACAGCTGACCCCAGCTGACTTCAGGGATATCCCGTTCCATATGGAGTCATGCTCAGCAATAAAGCTGGGGTGAAAATTGGTGGAGGAGAGTGCTCCCTTGGGGACTTGCTGCCTGTTGATCGGTTGGTGGTGGGCAGCTGTTTCCATTTGCATCACTCGTCTCAAGTTTTATTTTCCTCTATTTGTTATTTTTTTCTTCTCTTCCTTACAGTTTTTTGAAATTATTATTTCTTTTAAATTATGAAACTTTTTTTCTCAACCCAGAAGTTTGTTTCTTACTTCTACCCTTCCAATTCTTTTCCCATCCCAATGGCAGTAGTGACTGAGTTGGCTGTGTGATGCTCAGTTGCTGGCTGGGGTTAAACCATGACAACGTTTGTTTTGAAAAGTCCTAGGGCAGGTTGAGTATTACAAAGTTAATGAAATAGTGGATTGCATCAGGATTCTACAGCTAGAAATAGGTTGTTGAGCTTTTAATAGGGCAAAATTCTTGTGCATAGCATTTCACTGAAGGGCTTTTGAAACGAAACTTGTATTATTTCTCTAGTTCTGGTGCCTGAGAACTCTTGGAAAGCAGGAAATTCAAGCTGGATGTAGAGAAACACATTCTTTCTGCATTAATAAGAGTTGCTAATATCTGAACAGGATGTGGCACAAAAAAACCCAATGGTTTCATCTTCAGCAGCCTGAAAACTTTGAGGAGTAATAAGGTTCAAGGGAATTTTTATTTCAAGGAAATCAATTCCAGGGCTTCAGTTAGTATAGGAACCTAGTGTGGAAACGAAATGCTTTGTAAATTGCTCTGTATATCACCATCTTTTATGGTGATAAAGTTGGTCATAATCTAAATAGTGAACGCAACGTTGTTTGTTTATCTGGAAGTTCATGTTTCATGAAGAAAAGTGAGAAATGGCTGCTTTTAAAAATTTATTGACCCTTATAAAACCAAAGTTTTAGAGAACAAACTGTAAGATTAGAAATCATGCTGGTCTTGGTGAACCATGGCCCTTGAGGTTCTGGATGTTTTACTGTTGGCAAGGAATATGTTTGAGAGAAACAAACATTTTGAACCTTTAGGTGCAGCACTGTAATTGTTACATGCCAGGTTCTTCTCATCAAGCACCTATAAGTCCCCAAAATAGTCATCTCTGTGTACTGGTTGTGTGTGATGTGATGGTGGAAAGCTTTTACTCCTATTACGGCTACAGAAATTATTTAAGTACATAGTGTGTTTGTTACAGCCTTAGAAGCAATTGATCACCTATGGTTTACCTACATCTCTTTCACATTTGCTTTTTTAGGTTATTTTCAGCAGGTAATGATTGCTCTTGTTTCATTGTGCTTTCTCTTTGTGCAGCTTAATGCCTTAAAATGTAAACTAACATCAGTCAGAAGTGACTGCCCTAGCTAGGACTTGTCAGTCTCTTCAGACCTTCTTTTCCATAGGCTTTTGTGATCTGAAATGGCCTTGGCAATCTACTGCGTTGGAAACCTCTTTGCATGTCTCCTAGGAAATATTTTTATTTAGAGCTTATCTGATTCAATTTTGCTACTTAGTCTTATGGCCGAGAACCGTTGCTGAAAGAGGAATTTGCATCAGAGCAGTTTTGCTCTTGGAAGAAGAAGAGTTTTTTAAAATTTCTGTTGAAAATAGAACATTTTATGGAGCTGTGTAATCTTGATAGTGTAAAAGAAAAAATCTAGATGAAGAATTTTGATTTCATATTTCATCTTGTCAGGACCTTTAGTTTCAAACTTCTACCATTTTGAATCAGTTTATTTACGTAAAATATTTTGTCTAGTCAGTGTGCATGTTTAGCATTCATATATGCTGTTTGACCTTACTGAAATAGAATATTTTGATTACCTGGAATTTTTTTAATACTTCCCCACCTCCTCCCATGGAAAAGGTCAAAATATTGACTTTCAGTATCACTATGGAGTAAAAACAAATTTTCGTGTTGATACTTCTAATGGCAGAGCAATCCCTTTTGCCAACTGTTCTTGTGGGAACGTGATACAAGTGCACTTTTTCTTTTTTAGGTTTCTGAATTATTCAGTTGTAATCATAATGGCCTTATTCACTAAGGAAATAACATACTTCATGGGTAGCATGTGACAAATGAACTTAATTAATGCTTGGAGATTCGCTTCGGATTAGAATCTAGAAGCCTGAATGCTTATCTGAAATGTATCCAAGTGGCAGTGTTGGAACTGCTGAGATTTGAAAACAGGACTCCAGTTCTCCTGTGAATTTTACTTACTTTTTTGTCAAGTAAGAGATGATGTGAACACAGTCTTTTATGATTTAATTTATCTTATGATTTAGCACTGTGTTTCTTGGAGAGGTTGATTGCTTTCTATAAATTGTAATCTTCTCTGCCAGGCAGCTAAATCTAGATTTCATGGTTTTCTTTCTTTTCTTTTTTTTCTCTGAGGTGCACAAGGCTTGTATATGCTGTGCAGAAATTTTTTCTGATAGTGGTGGGATGACTTTGCACAATACCAACTTAAACTTCTGGCGGGCATTGCCATTCAATATAAATACTCTTTTATAGCACACTTCCAGTCACACCATAGGTAAAATTTATGCATCAGTTTAATTGAAATGGGCTTGGAAAATGTGTATAGACAGATTTCAGGTAGAAACATTTCCTTTGAGCTTATGCAGTGTCTTTGTGTGCCCTAATACACTTGACATATTATTCAATAAGCTTCTTAAAACTTCTTAAAGGTGCCATATTGATAAAAGAGAGGAGCAAACTGGCCATTTCAAAGAATCTCTGTCCCACCTGGAATACAGACAGGGTGCTTTCTGGAATATGAACCAGCCTGTAGCACAGGTTTAAGAGGGACAGAAAGGTGTACTTGTCTCTGAAACAGGGAGAGAACTGGATCACGCCATTGTTTTCATACTCATCATTACCCTGTTTGCTTGATTTCTGCAGCAGCATATCTGGTCATCTGTTTGGGAAGCCATGCCTGGAAAGCTTTCCAATGGTGCTGTGTTGGCCCTCAGCTAGAAATCCCTGCTCTTAGAGCTTGGTGTTCCATTCGTGGCTTCAGCTCTACAGGCAAAATGGCATGTTGACTGCCAGTTTAATCCAGCACTATCATCCCAGATGATCCAGCCACAACAGAAGTAGTGCAGCTTTGCAGTTGTAATTGTGAATGAGCCAGGCATTTTTTTATGGCCTAATGGTGCCAATCATGTAACATGCCCCTGAGTAATGTTGTTTGTATTCTGCACTGAAGGCTTGGCATTAGCAGGGTGGTGTTAGGTTATTAGTCTCTGGCAACTTGGTAGTGGCAAACTATTTGGTCATTCTCCTGAAATTTACGACTTTCCAGCTGACACTGCCTCATGTATTAATATATGGCTTCTGTAGTTTTACATCTGTGATCTCCATGTCCTGCATAATTTACATCTAGTTGTAAAAATGTAAGTATTTAGTTAGTAGAAACAACAGGAATATGATGAAAAATGCCTTAAATTTACTATGGAGTGGGAGGGCATAAAAATGTGCATGTGTGGGCTACTACTGTGGAAAAACTTAATTTGATTTGCCTTTGCCTAAGTAACTGAGCTGCTTCTCAACTCTGTAGATGGGTGGGCACAAGATCATGACATGACATCGGGATGAGATTTGTGTGAGCCTAATCACGTCCTTCCATGCCTGGTTACCATTAGAAGGACACCCAGAAGTACAGGCAGAGGATAAAGCATTGGCTCTTTTTAGATATTTCTGACCTGAACAACTGGAGGACCAGAACCAGGGAAAAAGGCTAAGTGTGTTTACTGTGCAGCCTAGGGGAAAAGCTGTGAGATTAATGGTAATATTTCAGAAAAAGAGAGAGCAGCAATGCTGTGATGCTTCTTGTGTCCTACTGCACTGTAGCAGTGCAGCAACCTCAGAAGCTGCCTGGAGAATGGCATCCGTTCACACATAGGTGCACACAGAGTAAGTGGTATCTTGTCTATGGAAAAAACTCAGTGAAAAGTAAATGGTTTTATTTGCATAATCCTGGGCATGCTCTTTGCTTTAAGTGCTTCCTGTTTCTTCTTATTTTTCCTTGTGGTTGTCACTACTGTTTCACTGTTAGACAAATACCTACAAGAGTGCTCCTGTAGTTAGTCAAATGGTTATATTTCATAGAGGAAGACAGCCACACAAACGTAGGGAATTTAGCATATACCTTCTTTTTCAGCATTTCTGAGTGGGGCTATAGGCACAGTGGCATGATGTTTCTGTTCTACTATTAATCTACTGTGGGTTTTTTCCGTTTTTGACAGAGTTTATGTTGTTCTTCTTGGCTCTGCTGGTACAGAGAAGGTGCTGACTCTTGACACAGTGTTGCTGGTGGCATTGCATTGAGAGTAACAATAGCTGGAAATGTTAAAGGGAAAAATATTGCAGCAGAACAGCTGGTTAGTGCTGACATCTCACCCACTTCTCTATGCACCATCTTCCAAAATTTGTGAAGACACTGGTGATTTAGGTGCTGCATCTGTTTTGCCGTTGTTAAAAGATTTGTTCTGGAATCAGACTAAATAATGCAGGAAAACAATAGAGTGTTTTCTGAGCATAGCATGTAACCTAATGCAGTTATGGAGACTAAAGTCAGGAGAGTTGGAAGCAAAATAATGAAAGGAGACTAGGTGTTTTATACTAGGATTAGTAAGTTTGTTTTTGAATTAACATGTGCTTTAATATTAACTTTAAAAATTATTTCCTGTTTTTGAAGTTTGCTGCTCTTTGTAATTGTCATTCATAATTACATAATTCTGATGCACATGAAACACACGGGGAAGCTGTTCTTGGGTTCTAAACAGATGTGTTTGGTAAGGAAAATGCTTTAGAAATAAACAGGGATGACTTACAGTATGGAACAGGGCTGTCGTCTCAGTTTTCTCATAGACTTGCTCAAAGCTCCTAGACCTGACTTCAACATCAGTGTAATATTTACAGTGATAATTTGTCCTGGGATTCTCAAACCGCAAAGGAAGCAGTAAGATTTTGATCTTGGATTATGTGTTATTCCTCTCAATATGGGAATTATGCTCAGTTTTTTGTCATAACAAGACAGGGAATTAAAACTAAATTGCAAAGGGGAAGGCTGTGCCTTTTTTTCCCCCATCTGTCCATGTGGGGTTTTTTGTTTCCTTCTTTTTTAAGAGTAGTCCTGAGGATTTAACATATTATTTTCCTCATTTCTTCATTGTAAGTTAAAATCTAGTCTAAATTTTTTGATGAATGGAGGGGTGGTGAAAATAGTGTCAAAAATTTATGTGAATAGGAGGTTAAGAAACTGATAAAGAGTTGACTTGAGTCACAGTGTGAAAAATAAGCACTGTGTAGCAGCAGCAAACCTTCCAGCAAGTTATAAAGCTTTTCACCAGAAAGCCACAGAAAGTTTGAGGTTGGCAGGGACCTGTGGAGGGCACTGGTCCAACCAGTCCCTCTGCTCAGGCAGGCCTGCCTAGAGCCAATTGCCCAGTGTCATGTCCAGACGGCTTTTGAATGTCTCCAAGGAGAGAGACAACTTCTCCTATCTGGGCAACCTGTGCCAGTGCTCGGTCACCCTCACAGTTGAAAAAGTGTTTCCTGATGTTCAGAGGGAACGTCCTGTGTTTCAGTTTGTGCCTGTTCCCTCAGATCCCTTCACCGGGCACGACTGGAAAGAGCCTGGTTCCATCCTTTTTGCACTCTCCCTTCAGGTAATTATGTACATTGATGAGATTCCCCAGATCCTTCTCTTTTTCAGGCTGAGCAGTCCCAGCTCTCTCAGCCTTTCCTCACAGGAGAGGTGCTGCAGTCCCTTCATCATCTTAATGGCTCTTGGCTTGGCTCTCACTGTTTAAAAGTGTGATACCTACACTTCAATTCAGCTGTCAAAGTTCATATTGTGCCTGCATTGTACTCTGCTGGCACTCTGGGCTGAAGGGCAAATTTGTCTAGGAGAGGTCATACAAAAATCGAGTTGCCTTTGGAAGAAGCACATCAACAGATCCAGATTTATAGGTGGGCTGCAGAAGATGTTTTTCAATTAGTGTGACTGTATTCAGAAATTACGGAGGATGGTATGTGATCTTTGTCCCCCATGATTTTATTTGGAAGGAAAAGTACTTTGAACAAGTGCCCAGAAGGAGCAAGATCTGTAATCCTCAGAAAGTCTTTCTGACACAGCTCTTAAAATTCAAGAACTAAAAATAATGCAAGCCCATAAAAGCTGCCATCTGACAGATGGTTTCACACTGGTTTTGGATAACCTTTTGTCGCGAGTATGTTGAGCTGGGCCTGAGAGAGAGCTGCTGAATGAAGGATGATTTCAAATTGTTGGTAGTTTTGGTAGTAAGGATCCATTTTAGTATTCATCCAGGTTCTGTTACTGAAGTACATGCAACCTTTGGAGCCCTGCCCTTTAGGTTTTCTTAAAACTGAGGTCCAGATACAGCTTCATACAAGTGGTAGAAGTGCTTAGGTAATTCTGAGAGGGTCTGCACAGTGGGATGGATTGGAAGACTTAATAGTTGTTCCTTGTGACTGATTTAAACATAGTGGATTACATCCTGTAGATAGGTCATATTTGTATCATATACAGCAATGACCTGGAATATTTAGCTGCTTAAGATGTAGTAGTTCAGTATTACATCCCTTTGAATTTTCAGCAACTTAACTGTTTGAAAGAGTATATTAGGCATGCTAATGAAGTTAATTTCTTCTTTTTTGCGCTAGGAAAAATTCTAACCTTTACCCTACACGGTAGAGTAGTTGTTACAGTTCAGGCTATTAAAACAAGATTTGCTTTTTGTACTTGAGCTTGTAAACAGTTCAATTTCTAAACAGCAACACACCATATCAGTACGTACCAATTACTGCTTGCCATCCCTCTGCTCTGAACAGATTTAGGAGTTGATTAAATGTCTTTCATTTACCCTAACCCAAATAATTCAATACATTGCTGTTACTCAGAAAAATAATCTGGGAAGAGGTGATTGTACGAAGGCTGTTCCAGCAGATAAATAAGCAGATAAGCACTGCAATAATGTTTAGTGATTCGTTTTCATTTTCTTGTAGGGTTTGGGACAAAGTTATTAGTGGGTCCTGCAAGATTCTCGTTTTTGTTGCTTTGGAGATATTATTAACCTTTAAAATGAAGATAATAGCGCTAAATACTGCAGAAAAGATCACACAGTTTTTGGAAAATGTAAGTACTCTATTGTGCTTTTATAAAAGTGTGTTTCAACCTTAGTCATTTGCCTATTGCAGATGTACCATTGATATTATTACAGATGTATGTAGTGGATTGGTTAGAAATGCGAGGACATATGAACATGGCTAAGGCTATGGATGAGCTGCTAAAGTATAAGACGCAGTCTGACTAGGCCCATGAGAAAGTCTGAGATAGCAGGGCCATGAGAAAGCGGCAGTGTCCTTGGGTATCCTAAATTGAGCTGAGAAACAGAGCTAGGCATTACCAAAACAAAGGCACTTAACGAGCCACCTGTGTAAACAGTGGGAAGCAGTTAAGATGATATCACCACCTAACTGAGCACCAATAATGAGCCTGATTTCTGTAATATTCATGAACCTATTATAGAGTGTATATTAAGCTACTGTCAATCTACAATAAACGAAGTTCCTGGATTCTCACATTGAGGTGTCTAGAGCTTTCCGTCGCGACGTTAGATGTACCATGAGATATTATTACACTCCTTCCTGAGAATAGTGGAGTAGTACAAAAGTGAAGGAAAAATGCACAGGATTGAGAATAATGATTTTTTCTATGAGGAGGTAAGGCTTTCATAGACTGAAGTTATTTTTAGGCTTGGGGAATGTATTATCTACGTTTGTACAGAACTGACAGTATTCCTTGTGATACTAAAGGGTTTTTCTGTGAAAGTAAGTGCAGGTGAGGTTAGGTTAATTTTTCTGGAAGCTCCTTAGAGGGGTTGGTTTCTGGCTGCTTTTTTTTTCTTTGCTTCTTGCCTGAGTGCACGTCTACAGACTCAAGGTGTGTTTTCTGTTGATGTGAGGACAGGGTCATGAACCTGACCCTGAACTTTCCTGACCTTGAATAGTAATGAGCATCACAGCAGGGCTGTAGGGTTCCAGTGTAACCCAGGTTAGTTAGATGAGATATGTTTGTGGTCATGGATAGCCAGTGTGAGTTCTGCCTGCTGTCAGCTCGGGGATGTATTGAGATGTCTGGGTGGTAACCTTACCATTTTGTAAATAAAAGCTTTCTGTCCAAAACCTGGAGGTAATGTGGTGTGTGTAGGACTGAGGGGTGGTGGGATGGTGGAGCAGGAAGGTGGGATTCTAGTTTTGTTTTCTTTTTTCTAAAGAGAGAAAATACAAACTGGAAATTCAAAATCTTTATTTTAAACAAAACAGTCCAAATGAAGTACTCTGACAAGGCATCTTGCCCTGATCTTTTGTAGATTCCTCAAGACAACACTGATGCCATTGTCAGCAAAGCTGTTGATCTGTGGCGCACACACTGTGGGACTCCAGCACACTCAGTCTGAGAACTCTCTTCGCTTGTGACAGCTTGGGAAAAAAAAAGACATTTGAAAAGACATTATACCACTCTTGCCCCATCCTAGTGTGATGTTCTTCATTAACCTATGTAAAAATGCTATTAAAGCATAGTGACCAATTGGCAGAGACTGAAAAGGTTAATGATTTGCGCATTCTAGAATCTCCAGGGGACTTTTGCAGGCTGGGAAGAGGCAATCGCTCACCCAGCAGGGCCCCACCAGTGCTGCTGAGGGGTCAGTCCTGAAAAGGCAGGAAGTGCCATATTTGCCATGCCCTTCTCATGAACTCTGTGTGTCTGGCCTGGGCTGTCAGAGATGTTGGAGGCTTGTGGCACACCCATCAAAGCCCATCCCCGCACCAGTCCTGAAAGGCGGGAAAAACCCTTTTACCATGCCCCTCACAGGAGCTCCTCGCATGCCCAGGAGACGCTGGAGGCTCGTGGCACGGCCCACAACACTATTCTGTGGTAAAACTCCCCGCCTCGGGGAGGTACAAGGTGTTCTGGAAGTATATAATAACTCATAACTTCTTTGAGTGTGTGGGCCTTCCTCCCCCACCCCCAATGGATCAAGACCACCACTTCAACTAATAGACGTGGAAGCCACAACTACCAAGTTTCATCGCTGGACCCTGTGTTTATTGACTATATATATCTTCCCACCTTTATCCTTTCTTTCCCCTTCTCTCCCTTTCTCTCCCTTATGCATTTCCTTAAGTGTTATCCTAATGACTGCTGTATTGCTATAGATGATAGATATAGATGGTAACATCCAAAATGGCACCATACCTGTTTACCTTTGAAACAAATTATTCTAAAATAAACTCTACATATATATGTTTTCAAACACCAATTATTCAGTGTCGTTTTCACTCTAATCCACCCCAAGGGATTTATTAATAAGAACCTGGGTAAACCCACTCCCCTCCTTTCTGGGGTGGGTCACAACACCAATATGTAAATATTTTTCAATAAATACTGGTGGAATGAAGATATCTAGCGGTGGTGTGATCATGTCCAAAGTGTTTGTTGGTCAGCCAGCTACAGTATTTTGATTGTGCAGTGTGCTCTGTTGCTCATGAAGAAGTAAATCTAACTCTTGAAGCAGTAAATCTAACTCCTGAAGCAAGGTAAATAGACTTAATTGTAATTTAAAAATGTTTCTGTATGCCAGCTTATACTTGACATAACTAGTTACTATTTGGAGGTGTTTGTAAGGTAAATGTACTGAATGTTAGTCTGCTGGATTGGTGGACAAGCATGCCTTTCTAGAAATGTAATTGTACTCCATTAATACTGTTAATTTTCAGGTAAATGAGGCTTCACAAGGCTGAGGTATAGGATGTCACAATGATTGGGGTGGCATCCTTTTCTGAAGTGTTTTAAAATACTTTCTTTTTATCTGTCAACCAGCTCTCTATGGCTGTACCTCTGTCTTTGTTCTTCATGAAGATATTCTAGAGGTGGATCTGTGCAGGTGTGGAGAAAATCAATTGGGATGAGTCAGTAAAATTCAGAATTACAGCCCAGTAATAACTCAACTCTGTTGAGCGCTTGGCTTGAAGTTGTAATTTGATTCTTGTTTGGCTTAGATTTCAAAACAAATTTAATACAGAAATGTAATTCATGATTTAAGTAGAAGCCATACATAGAGGTTTACTGGAGAACTGATCTTTTTCTTGTAAAAGGGTAAAATTCTGTTTCTACTTCTTGCATAGCCCAGGGAATTGTATATAAAAATGTGTTGCTTAGCTGTCAGTTGACTCAAATTGATGTTCAGTATGCTGAGTATGCTCATTGCAATTGAAAGAGTGTGTTTACCTTGTACTTGGCATAGGGCAAACTTGAAATGCTTCAGAAACTTGTTTTAGACCTGACTACATCAGGTTTACCTTCAAGCACATGGGGAAGCTTAGGATGCGGCTCAAGTTACCCCTAAAACCCTGGGAACATGACCTATGCTGGAGGCTGAGATGCTGTGGTTAGTGCTTCTGGAATGTCCAAGTTTTGCCAGTTCAGAAAAAGCATGTTCATGTCTGCTTTGGAATCCATTGCAGTGCCTGCATTGTAGTGTAATCCAGTGAGTTCACTTCAGGTGGGAGCCTATTTTCCCAGCGTAGGCATGAGAGCTGGGTAAGGGGGATGGGAAAGTGCCATGATCTGAGGGGGAATGGGACTGAAGACAAGGTAGAGGTGCAAATGGAATACTTTATTCAAGTGTGCCCGGGGTTTTATGAGTTCAGGCGGGGAAAGAGCTGGAATATGGGGTGGAGCATGAGACAGAAAAACGGGGGAACAAATCGGGGTAGAGATGCAGGCAAAGGGGGAGGAACATGGGAGGAACCGGGGAAGGAAAGGGTGAATGGGAACTGTCTCCTCTCTGCAGCTCCTTCAGCCTATCAGAGAGGGGAGTGGGGAAGCAGGGAGCAATCAAAACTCGTGGCAAGCCCTGGCATGGCCAGGGTGTGCACTGTGTAGTGTGGGTACAACGCGATACACATATCTGAAACGGTAAAGTCCATATAATAAAGTCCTGTCAATTGCTGTATGTCTTTCTCCACACCTGGAACCGCTCCCATCCTGAATCTTGCTCCTTCACAGGAAAGAGCACACACGTTCTGTGAACAGTAGCACTGTAACGTGCAGTGCACAAGTTTCTCAAATAATGGCCACAGGTGTAGTCTGAGAGATTGCCTATTTGAAGATTTCCGCCCCTCCAGGCTGCACTGCTAATTCACACAACCCCAAAGGTACAGGTGCATTATCCAGGCTTTTACACAGCGGATTACTTGGTCATTGAAAAAACAAACACCGATGACACTGAAGGTGTTCAGCAATTTCAGTCCTGAAGGGGAATCAATAACTCATATTCTGTGAAGAGAGGTGAATTGAATCAGGATTAGAAATGCCAGTCAGCGTTACTGCTTCCAGACTTGCCAGTGAGTGTTCCTCCAATTACTAGTTGACTGAAGGCTCCAAACGCTTTTTTAATTTAAAGAAGCCTTTCTCTATCAATAGGCAGGCCCTGGAGTTGCACAGAAGAGAGAGATCAACCTTTACGGAATCACAGAAAGGCTGAGACCAGCAGGGACCTCTGGAGTCCATCTGATCTAACCTCCCTGCCCAAGCAGGACTGCCTAGAGCCAGTTGCCGAGAACCATGTCCGTGTGGCTCCATGGATGTCTCCAAGATGGAGACTGTCTCTGAGGATGGAGACTCTACCACCTCTTTGGGCAACCTGTGCCCGTGCTTGGTCACCCTCACAGTAAAAAATCTTCGTGTTTCCACGACCACCAGCAATTTTACTTAAACATCTCATTGTATGTGGGATGGATCCTCACATGCTGCTCCCCTGTAATGTCCAGCTGAAGGTTGTGTGCAGCTTTTTCAGTTCTATGTATAAAGAGGGAGCAGGAATGTGACTAATACAGAGTGCATTATTTATTGTGGGCTATCCTGAAGGAGGGGAGTTCTCTAGAGAAGATATTGTGGTTTAAGTCCGTTTTTCCTTCACCAATCAGGTAAGAGACATTTGTGTGTCTCTTAATGGATCCATTTGCAGACTTTCACTGTGGATTTATGAGGGAATCAGTTTATGTAGAAAATGTACTGAATTCCCAAAAGACTGGAAGTATGAATCTGGCTAACTTACGCTCAGTTAATTTTTGGTGATTGCTTAGTTGCTCGTATGCTCAGTGGAACAAAATGCTTCAGCTCAGAGACCTGCTTACCAAGAGAGCAGAAGAGCACAGTGGGAGCTTTTACTGTCTCCAGCATGTGACAATCAGGGGGAACATGAGACAAGGTACTTTTAAAGTCCCAACCTGGAGCAGAGTCACAGTTTGGGAAGCCTGGGTCTGTGCCTCTAGCAATTGTCATCAGCCTGCAGTTGACCTCTTGAACTAAACCAGCTCAATAATTGTGGTGTCCAGCTTGGCACTTCGTTTAGTGGGAAATCCCACTAAAGTTTGCTCTTTTATCTACTACGGACTCCTAGACACAGATTGTTTTGAAATTGCATATAGTTGAGCCTCACACTGAAATCCTTGGCTAAGTACTTAATACAAGGAAGGGGTTATCTTTGCTATTTGTTTTCTGTTAACCTTTATGTCGTCCAGGAGGAGCATGGTAGCAAGCCAGGCGTGTCTGTTAAATGGAGAATTGGGTTTTTCAGCCTTCTCTGTTTCCTGCCTGAAGATGGCATTGGATTGCAATTTGATTGCTAGTAATTACATAGACTTCACTGAAGGCACACACATCTCTTCACTCAGACTGGTTTTATGAAAAACTTCCGTTAAAACATAAAACCCCATCCCTTTTGTAGAGGTCTCAGCGCAACAGATTGGACTGTGTTCTCATATTCCCTGTACAACGTGTTCTCACCAATACTTTTCTTGTTAAATCACAGAAATTACTGTATGTAACCAAATCACATTGTACTGCTGCTGTGGAAGCCATATCTAGTTGCAGGAAAAGGGGATCTTTAGTCAAAAACTATGATTTTGTTTACTTTATTTATCCAAGCCTCACTGGATAGCTACAAACTTGTTGGCTGTGAGAATGGAAATGCATATAAACAAGGATTTTAAGGAGTTCAGTGAAAACTTACCCAAATGAAAACAAACAAAAAAGACCCATACCAGAGTTTGATGATGTTGTGTCTCCCTATCAACAAAGGAAAGGAACAAAATTTGGTCAGTTAAAATACATAGATCTTCAATTTTTGTGTAATTGGAAGCCTACGTGTGTGTCAGGGAAGGGGAACTGCTCCCATCTGCCAGTTACTGTGAGGATGCTGGGTGTCAGTTGTTTCTTTAGGGTCAGAATTTTTGCACCATCAGTTACAAAAACTGAAGAGCCTAAGCAGAGCTGTTACCTTAAATACTTTCTGCTGGAGGCCAGTGAGCCTGTTTGAAGGTATGTACTTATTCATGGGTAGGTTTTTTCTTCACTTCACAGAGGCTTCAGCTTGTCACAGCCTGAAATGCTGTGCAACTACTGAAGCTACTCAGGGGAAAGAGAGAAAAAAAGAAAAAGATGAAAAGGCAATATAGATGTGCAGGAAAGGCTCCTCTGCTGAACAGCAACAGCACTTGCTAGTGCTACTTGGCATTTTCTTTAACCACCAGATATTGCCTATTGGACAAAGGCTTGTGAACAGGGAAGGGAGAGCAGAGCTGGCAAATGCTGCATGTTGATGCTGGCAGCTGGCACAGCATTCCCTGTGCCAACAACATTGTGGTGACAGGTGGGGTTTGGTTGTGTTTGTGGATGTGTTTGTGGATGTGTGTGTGTGTGTGTCTTGTGCAGACTGTTGGATTTGCTCTTCATTAGCACAGTGTTGGGTACAACTTTAGCAGCAGAGGTACCATCATCCTCCTTTGCACACCTTTGTTGATCCAGCTCAGCAATGGCGCTTGTGGCCCATTCAGTACGTTCCACTGATCATCTCTGCTAAGTCTCACTCTTCTGCTTTGCTCCCCATGGAGGTGGGCAAGCCTGCCTGGCAGCAGGAGGGCTGTATCCTTGGCTGCATCCATGTGTTACACTATCAGTCACTGGGATAGAGGGTGATAAAATACACAGGCATGAAAATGCTTTTTTTTAAATGAATTTTTTTAAGAAACTGCATACATCAGAGACAAACAATAATTTAAATACCATGCAGTTTCAGTATGTACAAAAACTAGGACATTAGAGATCCAGTTTAATTTTTTCTAGTTATTTACATCATTTTCATACAGCCATAATCTGTTAAATTACAATACTGGAAGAGCACGATTGACAGCCACCACACTCACTCCTATACAAAGACAAACTATATATATACACTTGGATATCAACTGGAAAATGCAACTGGTGCAGGAGTAACTGGGACACACGGGAAGGCAGGTAATGTGCCCGTCACCTCCTCTTTGTTTACAGAAGTTGTTCCAAGCTTGAGCAGACTGAACACCTAGGAAAAATAATTTGTCCCCTTTCTCTTTCCTG